TACTATTTTGCAAAAATGATATTTAATTATATATTTTTTAATATCATTATAATCACCTAACCTTACTTAGAGCAGTATTCCTATTTTAAAAATTTTAATTTTTTTTTAAAAATAGGACTTTAGCAGTGTTCTTGTCTCATGAAAACCACTTATATCCACATAAAATGTAGTATCACATCTTCAAATGCTATTCAAAAGGACAACTATTTAGCATTTATGTAGTTCAGGGACCAGCGGGTGGCGTGGTGGTTAAGGCGCTGGACACTCCCACATGGACAACTGGTGTTCGAGTCCTGGACCTGGTGGCTGGCTTTCTCACTTCCTCTCTCTCTCACTCTCACTGTCTGTCTCTCTCTGGTCAAATTAAAAAAATCAATGAATAAATAAAAAATAAATAATTATTAAAAAATTGCATTTACGTAGTTCATTTTACTGAGAATGTACTCTAGAAATGATTAATCTTTGTATATTTTTAGTAAAGTGGTTGGAAAAATATTAATAGCATAATTTGACAAGATGAAATGGTGATACATTCAAGCATCACTGAGGTCATAGCACCTCAGATAAGTCAGTGAAGAATCTTTAATTACAGAAAAATATAAACCCGTATGTTTACCGTAAAATATATACTGCTTAGCTTTTCCTATTAATCACATTGACTTGTATTGGCTGTCATTTGACTTTCCTCCTTCCTGCTTTGCCAGTATTAGGTGATTGTAATTTCAGATTCCTTTTTGATTGCTGTTCCTATTACTTTTCTTATTACAAATTTCCTCTACTACAAGTTTAAGTTGTGGGGTTTTTTTGTTTGCTTTTGCATTTTTCTTTTGAAATGTAAATAATAAACAGTTGGCTTTTTAAAAATAAATTTACTAGATTTATTTTATATTTTAAACTATAAATAGTTGAAGAAACAGTCTCCTCTGAATCTTTGAGTCACACTCAAATATGTATATGTTTCTTCAATCTTACAATCCTTCCTTTCTTCATACTAAGGTCTCTTCTCTCTTTGTAGCTGTATAGCTAAAAACAAACAAACAAAAGCAAAACAAAACAAAATTCCCTTTGCTCTACCTGTGTACAAATCTTGCTTTTATTTTGTTAATTTATTTCTAAGAAAGTTGTCCTTTTTAATGCTACTGTAAATGTATTTGTTGATTTGTTTTTGGATTATTCATTGTTAGTGACTTTCGCCTATTTATCTTATACCCCGCAACCTTGCTAAGTACATATATTAGCTCTATTACTTTTTTTTTATATAATGGATTTCTTAGGATTTTCCATGTACAGGTTCAATGTCATCTGTGAACAGAATGTTCTAGTAATTCCTTTCCTTCCTGGGTGCCATTTATTTATTTTTTGTTACACAAGTGTCTTGGCCCAAGTAAAGTGTTAAACAGAGATAGTGACAGCAGACATCCTTGTCTTGTTCCTGATGTGGTCTCTCACTCTTCAATAAATATGATGTTAGGTGAAGTATGGGCAGTCTGTGGAACTGACTGGGAAATTATCCATGCCCTCTAAGTAATCTAATTTGTTGGTGTGTACTTTGTCATAGTATTTTCTGAGTTTATTGAACATTTTTATCATTAGTGTGTAGGAGCCTTCTGTCAAATGTTTTTTCTCCTTTTTATTGAAATGATCATGAGATTTCTGTCTTTTGTTATTCTATTGCATTCATTGATTTCCAGCCTTGCGGTCTTGGAATAAGTTCTGCTAGGTTCCTGTGTATACACTTAGCTGCTGGTTTTGGCTTCTTAATTTTGTCGGCAGCCTTCAGGTCCCTATCAGTAAGGACGTTTGTAGCTTTCATATTTTATGATGTCTTTGTTCGACTTTGGTATCAGGGAAATGCTAACCCCATAGAATGAGTTAAGAAGTGTTTCTTGCTCCTAACTTTTTTTTAAGAGTTTGTGAAATATTAGCAGTAATTCCTTATTTGTTTGTGTTTGGTGTAGAGTACATCATTGGAATCCTGTGGACGTAGGCTTTTCTTTGTAGGAAATTTTTGAGACTAAAACTTTCCACACGGCACTTCGGACACTAAATGTGTGGAATCCTCTCCTCACTCAGCCTCACACCAACGTAGTCTCCGCTTTCTTGGCAACAGCTGGCTGTTCTACAGTGCCTTACAATGAGGACACTAAGTATCTGCAGTCCATGTCACACCTCACTGATTGGGGATTCAGTTCCATAGACTGCCTGTACCTCAGGTGCCAGTCCTGAGCCTCCTCTAGTTCTGACCAACTCGACCACAGATCACAGGCTCTTAGAACCCTCTCCTTGGGTTTGATAATTTCCTGTGACAGCTCACAGAACTCAGGGAAAAGCTTTACTTACAATTGCTGGCCTATCATAAAAGATAATATAAAGAAACGGGAATAGCCAGATAAAGAGGTATTTAGGTCAAAGTGTGCAAGGATCCCGAGAGAAGGAGCTTCTGTTCTATGAAGTTGGGGTATGCCAACATGTGGCTGCATTTTTGTGTGTTGTGTTTTCATTTTCATTCATCTCAGGATCTTTTAAATTTTTTTTGTGGTTTCTGTTTTGATCTAATGATTTTTTAATTATATTCTTTAATTTCTACATATTTGTGAATTCCCCAAATTTTTCTCTAACTTCTAATTTATTCTATTGTGATAAATATGTATGATTTTAGCCCTATTAGAATTACTGAAGCTGTGTAGTACCTTAGCATATGGTCTATCCTCAAACATGTTCCATGTACACTTGAGAAGCAGTTGTGTTTTGGAGTGTAGCATTTTATCAATCCCTGCTTACAGTTTTATGTCTTTTTTTCATTTTTCATTTTTTAATTTGCTCTAGGGTGTGTGCACTCACTGTAGACAGAGGGGAAATAAAGTAAGAAAGCACCCCCAGAGGAAAGACTACTGCATTCCTTTTCCCGTTCTCCTCGAGGGATTTTGGTTACACATGCACCTGGCCTGAGCCTTAAGCTGCGGGGACTAAGACCACAGTCAGCCCTGTGGGACCCAGCTGCCTTACCCACCCACATACCACCTGACTGGCCCTGTGTCATCTATGTTAACTAATACTATTGTGTTGCACTAGAATGACTAATGCTTTCTAGACTAGAAACCCAAATATGCAGGTCACTTCCTTAAAATCATAAAAGGTTTCTCAGCATTCCAGATTTCAAACATTTGAAGTTATCTGTAAGATGACAACTTGGGATGGTTTGGCTTGGACATTTCCTTTCACTTTAAATCCTACCCCGTATAGTTTCTCCAGTTCAGTCGTAGAGCTCATTTTCTTGGTTCTCAGAACACAACATTGCTTCGAGTCTTAAAATATGTTTTTCCATCTGTGTGGATTACTCTGCAGCCCCTCTTCTGGTGGTTAGTTCTTATTCATCCTGCGATGACAGTTCCTGTGGAGAACTTTGTACTACCCCCAACGGCTGCACTAGATGGCTTTCTTTTGAACCATTTAGATCAGAACTATCCTTTTATTGTAATATCACACTTTTATTTTTTATTTCATGTTTTGGTTGATGGTCGTTGAGTAGAGTTGAGTTGAAGGTGGTAAGGAAGATGAAGAAATGAAGGATGCTTTCTAAAATTTCTGAATTGAGGGACCAGCAGTTAACATAATGGCTATGTCACTGGATTCCCACGTGGTCGACTGCGGTTCGAGTCCTGGACCCGGTGGCTTAAACTCACACCGGGCATGTGTGCGTGCGTGTGTGCCCAAGATCCGGAGAGGAGAATGGAGAAGGGATTGTGGCATGGCCATTCCCCCTGGGGGGTGATTTCCTGCTTTCTATCTCTCTGTCTCTCTCTGTCTGGCGAGCGCATGCGCCCTATGGCAAAAACCTCTCCAAAAAAAAAAAATTTCTGAATTGAATATTTGGACAGACAACATAAGATGAAAGGAGAGCAAGTTTTCAGGAATAAGATTATATATTCAGTTTTAGAAATGTGGAGTTTCATAACACACAGTTATCTAAATGAACGTTACAAGAAGAATGTATACAGGCAGTTCTGAACTTCAGCAAAGCTCTTGTGTTATATGTCCATCTTTCGCCTCTGTTAGACGAGGTCCTTGGCTGCTGGGACCATGCTTATTCCTTAGCTGCTCCATTATTTAGTACATCGTAGATGCTCAGAAGCTACTAGCTGAATTGACTTGTAAATAACGGTGCTCATATATTACTTATATAGTATTTTAATTTTATTGTGTTTCATTGGGAACATATGCATGCCTAGGGAGAGGAGTTATAACTGTGAATATATGAGATTTTTACTTGGGGAAAAATACTGTGTTTTTTCTTTTTTCTCCGCCCCCCCCCCCTGCCAGAGGGTATGTGTGCTTTCTAAAGAGAGAGAGAGGGTGTGAGAAAGCACCCCCCATTAGGGATGGTTATGCCACAGTCCCTTTTCTTCCATTTCACCTTTTGGGGCACATACACACATTCACTTAATATGTTTTTCAAGCCACTGGGTCTAGAACTCTGAGCAGTCAGCCATGGGACACTCGACTACCTTAACTTCTGTGCCACCAGCTGGCCTGTGTGGTTTTCTTTTTTTCCTTTTCATACAAATTAATTGACACATTTTTATTCTTAAATACCTATTTTACTTTGTGAGTTCACCTATTTTCCTAACGCTTTTTCTAAATTAAAAATTATCGGCTTTTCTAAATACTTTTGTGATTTTTTTTTTTTTGGGGGGGGAGAGGTTTGGTTTTTTTGGGGGGGAGGGGGGAGAGGTACATGCGCTCGCCAGAGAGACAGAAAGCGAGAAATCACCCCCTAGCAGGGATGGCCACACCACAATCCCTTCTCCTCCATTCTCCTCTCGGGATCTTGGGCACACACACACATGCAACTGGCATGAGTTTAAACCACCAGGTCAGGGACTCAAACCGCGGTCAACTACATGGGAGTCCAGTGACATAACCATTATGCTAACTGCTGGTCCCAATACTTTTGTCTTTTTAATATGAGGCAAATTGCTTTCTCTCTGTCATCCGTATAGGACTATAATGATGAAATCAGGCAAGCCCAGCTCCAGGAATTAACATATTTGAATGGTGGCTCAGAAAATGCAGACGTCCCGGTGGTTCGAGGGAAATCCACCTTGCGTACAAGAGGTGTACCGACCCCACCAGTAACCAGGTAGGCATGATTGATTGACTTACCTTTCTTTCCTTTTTTTTTTTAGGTTATGATATCATGACAGCTTCTTTAATTTGTTTTTAATTGATAGCTGTATAGCTTTACAAAGCCTAGATTCAGACAGTGAGTCATGATAAGTGATTCCTTTCAGAATAAGAAATTTCTGGGCCTGAACATAACCTGCAACACTGACTGAGAAGTGACCCCTCCCCTGTCTTCACACTGCCTTCTCTGTCTCTGGTCTCCCTCTCACTCCCTTTTATAGAAACACATGGGATTGTGTAAAAGGCCCACCTTGATAACCCAGGATAATCTTTGATTCTCGAGATCCTTAATCACATCTGCCAAGGCTCTTTTTCTGAATAAGGAAATACATACAGGTTTCTGGGATTCAGACAGCATAATTTCGGATGGCCTAATACTCCATCACGTTTGTGATGTTAGTTTAATCATTTTTATGATGGAAGTTAATGTTCTTTTCCAAAATAGGCCAAATACACAAAACATGTATTTTACAAAATTTTTTGAAAGTCTTCCATCTTATCCTGTCCCTGTGTTATTAGTCTGTGTTTGTTTATACATGTATAGAGCGTGTAGTGTGTTCACGATAGGCTAGGCACTTGTCGAATGCAGACCCTCCCAGTCACGCCACTGCCTCCCTACCTTTTTGAAATAATAGTCACATTAGACATCTGTTTTCAGATCTTGCTCCAAGATTGGACAAAAAATACAAATACAAATATATAAATATACAAATACAAATATATAAATATATGAACACAAATATATAAGCCTCCCAGACACACTTCCATGCTAGCATATTTTTCTTTGTAGGAGTACCTAGATATAGAGGTAGATGGACGTGGGAGACATCAAAAAGTTCTAGGAAAATGGAATTATTCTGGTGCAAAAAATTTTGAAATCCATTCATAGTTTTTCATAATTAATACACATTTTTTCAGAAACTTTTTAAAGACCCTTGCTGTAACAATTTCGTCTGTGTCTTTATGTGTGTGCACGTGCCCAGTGTGTATAAACTTTCTTTTCAGTGATCTATAAAACCTTATTTATACAAGTAAAGTTAATGTACAAAAAATATATCTTCTGACATTTGTTTTATGTATATCTCTAGGTATGGAGGGAATAAAATTAACAAAGTGATATTTATTAAGATCAAAGTACTCCGGCCTGATCCTTTTGGCAGAGTCCAAGCCCATAATAACCACCTTTGGCTAGAGCATGGAGCTCACTCACTGCCATTGTGCGAGACACCACCTTCCTTAAATCACAGCTGCCATTTTTATTTCTAATTTCTAATTTAGTTGTCAGTTTTTTAATTAAGTTGAAAATGTTACAAATAAGTAAGAGATATTTTGTATGTTTGGTTTTGGTTTTGGTATACAACACCTGGTGAAGCAATACCATCTGTCCAGTGAAGAATTTTTTTCTCTTGATTACGACATATACATTTTTTGTCATTTAGAGCTTTTTTCACTTTCTTGGTGTTTAATAATCTATTTTGAAGTTTGTGTTCCAGACTGGTTTTTGGATTGTGTCTGAGTGGTGGCAGTGCAGTGCCAGAATGAGACATCGTACCTGTGTGCTTACTGGAAATTGTAAGCAATTCACAGTAGGTGCGGTGCACTGTCTTCACACCCCACTTTCTCTTCCAAATGACTCTGGTCTTCCATGGTGCCAGATTTTTTAAGTGTCCTTTTTCTACATGATAAAGTTTATATTTTTGCAAGAGGTATTCAAAACCTCTTTGTAATTTTTCTCAAAATCCCTCTAGTTCATTCTTTATTATTTTGCTATATTTCCTGCGTGTTTAACCAACTCTGAAAGTTTCTTTTATAAAGTTTGTATTTGTGTTTTTATGTATCTTTATCTTTGTTCAAGTCATTCCTTCTGTATTTCTTCCCTCTGCCCTCTCAGCTGTTGAAATCTACCTACCTGTACGTCCTAAACGGAGCCTTAAAGAACTCTTAGCATAGCACCTCCTTGTGACTGAGCACTCTTCTCAGCACTTACAGACAGTAACCAAGTGAGGCCTCCTAACAGCTCTTTAAGGTGGGCACTGCTCTGTGACCTTCACCATGTCAACAACGAGGAAAGTTAGGCCAGCGTCTAGGCTGCTTGCCCAGTCATGCAGCTAGTCACCGCCAGAGCCAGGTCGGGATCCAGACATTCTGATTCCATAAACCAAGCCTCTCTGCCTTGGTATAATACCTTGTATTTTCAACAAGAATTTTTTTTTCCTTCTCTCCATTTTCTGCTAGGAGGTTGTGTGTTCTGCCAGAGACAGAGGAACAGGACAAAGCATCCCCCACCATGGGAAATGGTCAAATTACAATCCCTTCTCCATTTCTATCTCCTTTTGGGATTTTGTACACACACACACACACACACACACAGAACTTACACACACACACCTGGCATGTTTGTCAAGTCACCTGGTCCAGGGTTTGAGCTGTGCAGTCAGTTGCACAACCTGGCTGCTCCAACCACCAGGCCACAGAGCTAGTTTCTTCCTCCATCTTTTCCCTATACTTCTCCCATAGAACTTTCACTGGACGACTTGTATTATGTTTTCATTATGGCATATGATAACATTTTTGGTATAAGCTACGATGACCAGGCTTCCCCCCTTGCCACATTTTTTTTTTTCTAGAGAGAGGCTTTTGCTATTGATCATGTGTGTTCTCTGAAGAGACAGAGAGAGACAGAAAGCAAGAAATCATCCCCCAGGGAGAATGGCCATGCTGCATTCCCTTCTCCTCCATTCTCTCAGGATTTTGAGCGTGCACACACACACACACACACACACACACACACACACAATCTGGTGTGAAATTTAAGCCAGTGGGTCCAGGACTTGAACCATGGTGACTGCATGGGAGTCCAGTGACTAACCATTATGCCATCTGCAGGTCCACACTTAACACTTTTTTCTCATGAAATCACATGTAGTAACTTGCCAACTTAATCTAGTCCATCTAATGGAATAAAAATAATAATTAAAAAAAATGTGATGTGAAAATTAGGGTAAAAAATTGTAAAAACTCTCATGGGTAAAGTTAGTATACAGATACACACATGTTGTAACATTCTATAGAGTTACTGAAGTTGGCCTTCAAATTAGTGCTATGAATTTCCTAGCAGCTGAAATTGAGTCTTAAAAACATGACAGAATTCAGTGTCTAAATCTAAATGTCTAAAAACAGTAGCAATACAGAATAAGACAAAAACATGCCCAATGAAGCTTAGTACGTTTTAGCCCTGACACTTGCAAGAAATGTCTCCAGGAGACAGTCATGAAGTGGTCTCCATAGGAGATCGTAATATTTTAACAACAGTTCTGTTTGCCAGATCTAATTCCACAGTAAGCTCTTGATACTCTGATTTTTATATCTAAAATAAATCTCCAATTGACTCTTCTTTAATCACCTCTGTCCTCTGCCGTGGCATCTTTCCTAACATTATCCACACTGTTCTTCCAGTTTTCAGATGCATTCACAGTGACCTTTTACTATTTTCTCCCTACCTAATACCCTCCAGTGGCTTCCACTGCTGCTGTAAGTAAATTCAGACTCCCTGATAATGCACTTACATGATCTGAAGCTCTCTTCCCCTTTCTGACTCTCTCATTCCATTTTTTCATTTTCTTCACTCGAGCCACACTGATCTTCCTTCCCTCCTCCTTCCCTCTGTGCCTCCCTCTTTCCCATCCTTCTTTCCCTTTTGCCAGAAGGGCATGTGTGTTCCTCAGGGGAAGGGAGAAAGCACCGCCCTGCCCTCACAGTGGGCCATGATCACACTGCAATTCCTTTTTCTCCATTTCTTCATCCTGTCGGGGTTTGGGGCATGTGTTGCACATACACCTGGCATGTTTATCAAACCTCTGGGGCCAGGATTCAAACCACAGTCAACCATGTGGGATCTGACTCCCATAAACACTGTGCAATGGGGCCAACCCATGGTCTTGGTTCAGTTCCTTAAGCATGCCAAGCTCGTTCTTTGTGCTCACTCTTGGTTCTTCTCATCTCCCGCCCTCCGATTACCTGTCTCCCTCAGCGTTTTCTCACACACTCGAGAACCTTGTCAAAGATGCCTTTGCCAGTCACCTGGTTTAAAGCAGCCACCTGTAATGCAGGAGCTCCTTGGTAATGGCCTGTCTTACTTAGTAGCATTTATCAACTTGCCTTTACTTCTGTTCAGTTTTCATTGACCATTCCTTATTGTAATGTCTATCCATGACATCTTTTGCATCACTAATAACCAACATTGGTAATCACTCAGTAAATTATAAAGTGAATAAATTACAATGGCACAAAATTTTTTGGCTCTTTCAAATCAAGTGTGGACCATTTAAAGTATTCTTATATTAAAGTAGTTCCTAGTCGTTACATGACTGAATTTGCTAGGAGATCAGCTTTGTGGGAATGGTTACATGGATATCATCCTTTTGGAATTTCTCAGTGAAACAAGTTATTACTGGAATTTTCATGAGTGTTTCCTCCTGTTACCACCTCAGGACACCTTTCTGCTAAAGAATGTAAACGAGTTTAAATTAAATTCTGCAGTGAGCAATAATAAATATTTTAATAAAACCATTTCATTTTAATTTCAAACAGGAGAACTAAGCATATATATTTATATATTCTATACGTATGTGTGTGTGTTGTGTGTATATGTAAAGGGTAGTTTATAAGATCAATACATATACATACACATATTATATATTATACATATCCTATATACCATACATTATATATATCCTCTAAATATCCATCTATATATCATATATATATAAAATTTAAAAGTATGTATATTATACATATCCAACTAGGAACTACTTTAACATAAGAATATTTTAAATGGTCCACACTTGATCAGAAAGGGCCTAAACATTTTTGTGCCAGAAGAGTGCGTGTGTGTGTATATACACGATATGTATAATATACATACTTTTAAATTTAATTTGCCATAGTGTGTGTGCC